ATGAATATGAGATGGTGACTTCGATTTTTCTTTTTATAAACAGTGGAAAGCACTAGTAATCATCAATTTTTATTGGTTAAGCTGGTACTCCACAGCATCAGCTCAGCAAAACCAGTTTCTTTGGATATATTTAGAAACCAAAGTGGAACTTACTAGAAATGTCCAGTCTTGTTTTGGCCTGTGCTGTGCAATCTCTGTATAGTGCACCAAGCTGAGACATATTTAGTGATGTCTGATTGTGCTGTCATGCTGTAGGCATGGCCTTGCTTCCAAGCTAATGAAACAAGATAAAACAGAGGCAAGCATTTTTTTGGCATCTTGATAGTACTCTGATTCCCTTCTACTTAGCTATGCTGCTGCCTCTCTTCAGTCTTCAGACTGCATGGTGTAAAAATGCCCAAAGAGCAGTTAAAATGTATATGTTATCCTCTAATTCATTATTATGGATGCCAACATGACAGAAAAATACTTTATCTTCACCAAAATTGTCCATTTGATTTGATTCAACTTTCTTTTATTCTGGTCTTACATCACGTACAAATTCAAATCAGGGTACGTGCATTTGTAAAAACCCGCATAATAAGAAACCCACGTATGCTTTAGTGTCATTGAAATCAACATCTTTCACTTCCAAGTGAAATGTGGTGAAACTGCACTGATATTAAGATATGACGATTAATTAACTCGTTATTGCATTCTAATGTACAAACACCAATTACCTACATCCAATATGACTGGATTTTGAAATTATTTCTTTACAAATTAAACATATTTTTCCCCCCAGATTCTTTCAGTGCATAAACAGAACTGAAAAGGAAACTTGAACAAAAATTTTCTGATTTCAAGAAATGTTTAATGTAACACTGTAAAAAAAAAAAAATCAAAAAAGCATGGATAGCCTTGCTTATGTGACCAGAATTGCAAAGTCTTTTTCAGTGAGTTGACATTTGCCATGGTATCTATGATTTATTAATAATGTTGTTTTAATTGTTAGCAGGATAACTGCATTGCTTGAGCACTCAAACATTCTGACAATATTGGTCTCTTCTATGTAATCATAGTGTAAATAAAATAGAAGGCAATCTCTGACTCTAAATAATCTTAACAGGGAACACAGAAAAAGGATGGCAGAAAATAAGCAATTATAGTGGAAAGAAATGACTTATCTGTGGTCCCATCAGGCATAAGTGAGAAGGCTGAAAACAGAAGGCAAATCTCCTGAGCTGCAGCAGCTGTCTTCATCCAGTGGCTTGTTTGTTCATCTAATCTTTCTCTCACATACTTTTTGATCCCAACTACCTGCAAATACCACCAATCAGAATTTAGCAGACCAGTTTTAAAGGCTGTTTTTAGTACTTGTGATTGCATAGAAAACCTTCTAAATTCACAGAACTGGGGTAATAAGGAGGCACTAATGCACAGCCTCAGAGAAAACCACATTTTTCAGAGGTCATATACTGACATTGATTTATTCATTACAGTATCAAACTTCATGTAGACTATATGCTTACTATGAACTTCCACTTTGACCATATTTGGTGTGCCACAGAGGTTTGCTCTGCTTGATGGTGGTGCTTGTTGGCAGACGTCAAAAGTATTGTTGGGTGTGTGTTAATATGTTACCTCTGCTTTATTCTAAACGAGGAAGTCACTGAATCTCCCTCTTTCTAGTGATAAACATAGTAGTAGAAACTAGTGTCAGGCTGGACAAGGCCCAAGTAGATTTTCAGTCACACAGCCTCAAAATTGACCACAAATTCAGGGTCTGATGTATCAGTTTGGTGCAGTTGTCAGCCTAATGATAAATAGGAATTGGAAAGTAAAAATAACTAGAGAACAAGGGGAACCATGGATGTAGTCCTGGGTGGAAGTCCTACGAGAGAGAGGGAAGCATATTTTGAGCATATGATCAGGTGAAAACCCAGACTTGAAATTTATGAGTGGGGAACCCTCATGTCAGCTTCCGAGAAATTTATGCATGTTCTTTGTGTGCACTTGTTATAAAAAAGTATGAGACTTTGGAAATAGTCTGAGTAATGTGTTACATTTCTTTTTCAAATGGAAACAATAATAATAATAATATAATGGCCAGTCTTCGTGAACGAAGATTTTGGGAAAGGTCTTTTACCTTTCCAGCCTGCGCAATGGATTTTTTAGGTGAGACACAGCATGCGCTGCACTGAGTCCACCCTTTAATCCTAAGGTTCATCTGCCGGGGCCAAGCAAGCTTGGACAATGGCAGTGAGGTCCTCAGGACGTAGGTTTGTTTAGAGTGACCTTCTCTGAGATGGATGGCCTCACAGGGCTAATGAGCTCCATCTGCCCAGGAGACTGGGATTCAAACCTGGGTTGCAGCAGTGAGAGTCCTGCATGCTAACCACTAGGCCACCAGGGGTCCCTGCAAATGGAAACAAGATGGCATGGGTATTGACTAACATTTGAAGGTTTTTGTGGATGAAGCAGATTAAAGCATTTTAAAGTATGGGACCCAAGGGGCACTTTCACGTGACTATACACTAAAAAATTATTTGAGGATCTCAGAAGAAATGATTACTGGTCCCTAAATCAAATTATGGCATGACTTAGAGCAGATAAGAAAAAGAAGAGTCAGGAGTCTTCCATAGACACATTTTGCACTGTTACTTAGAGATGCTTCCTGCGGGTTAGACTACTGGAGGGGGTGGCGAGTGGGTTTAAAGGATCATCAGAAATAAACAGGGTTGGGTGCTGCACCCTTCAGAGTGACTGTCATCATCCCTGGGAATTCAGAGTGCTGTGGAAATTGCGGTGTAGCAGGAGATAAGGAACCTTTCAAAAACTAAATTACACAAGGACTGCGCTTTTTTTCCCCTTAGCATACGGGGTGTTTTACAGTACTTTGTCTTGATAAAGCTGTGGGTTAAAAGTGGTATTATTTGCTTTTTAACAATGGAAGCACTATCTTGTTTGCACGTTGTTACACAGAGTGATCACTGACACTACAAAACACTGCCTGTGTGATGTGGATATACTCAATGGAAGCCTACACGTCATTTCAGCAGTTGGAATTTGGTGTAAAGGAAATAAATATGTTTCTCAAGGGAATGCCTTGAAAATAGGCATACATATAAATGTGTAGGAAGCATAAAGGTATTAAGGTCATCATTTCCCTCTTGGAGAAAAACATCACATGTGAAATGTGACTGCCAACTCAGAAGAATTGCTGTTTAGCTTTTGCCTACAAACACTGGCATATTAACTGAATTTCTCATCAGGAAGTTGTTCCAGTCTCCTCATTCACCTAGTTATAATCCATCTGATGCAGCAGTTGCTATGGTAACAGCTGTTTCAATATTTTAACCTATATAAATATGGCTGGATATAGAATTCTTTGATAATACAGTTAACTTGTGTAACTGTTACTCCTCAGAAGAAAATTACTGTCAATAATCAGAACAAACCAATTTGCAAGAATTTGCTAGTGAGCGAGAGAGAAGCTGGTTGGATAAAGCAAGGCTGACACCTGCCGGCTCTTTCTCTCAGACACAGATGGATTTTCTGCATTTGAGACACATCCAGCTTTATTTAAAATAGTCTTTTTAATTCCTTCTGCATCTGGAGTGTTTTGGTTTTCTGGCATCCCCCCCATTTCTTATTTTATCCTTTTCTTTCTGAAGGTTGTGAACAATTTTTATACAGAGCTTATGGCTCATATTGCAAACTGTAAACATATCCTTGGTAAAAACAAGCTCCCAATTCTTACTATGCAGATTGCTTATTCATAAAGTTTGACATCTAGGACAAATTCAGTGGTGCAAATTGTCTATTTAGTCATGCTGATGGACTCTGTGATTCAAGGATGAATAAGGCTTTTTATATTCTTTTTAAAATACTCTGTGATTTTTTGAGGCAGAGAATGAAGGAATATGTAGCAAATAATCTCTTTCAGCCAGAGTTAACGTCTTATTAAGCATTATGCATATGACCAGTGCTTAAAAATCCATAAATAAATCCAGCAATAGGACATGCATAAATCCTGTATGACGCCTATTCTCCCGACACTAGCAAGGGCACAGCAAAATCATGGGGGAACTGCAGGTGCACTGCAGTGCTGGTAATTCCTGAAAGCGTCGTGCCTGTCAGCTCTCAAGGGCAGGCAGAAAGTCTCGGTGTCATGGAAGGGATTTCTCCAATGACAAGTAGTTTGTACGTCTCCTTTGTGGGGGTATAGCATAAACTCCCTCTGTTTAGTTTGGTAGCTAACGTGAGAGAAAGAGAGCAGAGCTTTAACTGCCCTCCCTTCTGCTCCACTTTCCTTTGAAAAGTGTTCTCTTGCTGGTATTATTAACTCTGAAACTCCCTATACAGCTGTGGACTGCAAGGACTGGCTCTCCTATGCAACTGCGGAAGAGGCACAAAGGTTTCCTTGTGACCACTCGTTCTTTTTGTGTCCCCACAAAAGGCCAGTCACAATGTACTATGCTGTTAATAGCTGAAGCACAAGATGTGGTAATGTAAATGAAGCCTGAGCAGCTGAAGCTAAGGTTTTGGGGAAACTGGGGCCTAAAAGACTGTGCTTTATCTTTCTTATTGAGTCACTGCCACATGACTCTTTTGGCTTAATCCCTTCACAGCATTTTATGCAGAGGCACTCCATTCAGATGTTTAAACACAAATTCATTATACACCATGTATGCTCAGATGTCCTTGCATGTGAATATAACTTTGTTATTACTCTGTCCTCAAGTATATTTTTCACCTGCCAATGTGAATACTGAGGTATTTTGGCAAAATGCTTCATTGTGGAGCTGTACTTCCCACTCCTTGAGCTAACATTATGCTCTTCTCATTAGCATGTATGAAACTGCACTTTTTGGTTTAATAAGGGGTCATTAAGAATCTGTGAAATATCAGTGTGGAGGCAAAGAAACTGAGCATCATTGAAGCTAGAGATGCAGTAGAGATGCAAAGAGCTCTGGCTTTTCAAAGAGAAGAGGAGGGGAGAGGGGAGGCTAAGTGTGTGCATGCTGTGAATGTCCCTTCTGTTTGTTAGCTCTGCAGCAGAGTCAAAGAAGCTCCTATCTGTGACAGGCAGACCCGACAGACATTGTTTTTGTTTTTTTCTATTCCTGCTTCATCTTCCATTTGAAGTTCATAGATCCCAGTGTCAGGATAGGGTAGTACTAAATAAAGTGATCTCACATGTCCTGCTTTCCTGGGGCTCAGAACTCCATGATGCGGGTACTACATGTAATTCATATTTTCTTGGCCTAGACTGAGATGAAAGTGAAAGGTGAGATTTTTTTTTTTTTTTGTTAGGATGGAGGCAAGCCACTGTGAATATTTAAACTTATTTCTAGATACAAAATATGTGATTCTTCACAGAGTTCCTAATTTGTGTACTTTTCTGTGACAGCTTGCCAAGGTGAGGGAATGGTAGGGGTACAGACTGATATTATAGATATTGGGAAAAAAGGTAAGGAGAAAGTCAGCCCTGTTGGTGCTGTGAAAAATCCCAATAGGTTTATCATCTGCTATTGCAGAACTGTATCATTTTAGGACTCCTGACTACCTGACCATGTTGGTTATTATTTTCTGGCAAAAAAATTCTGTTCATTACCTGATACATGCTGCAAGCCTGGATGCCTGTGACTCCTAAAGTGGAGAGCTACTTGACAAAAGCATCTGGAGCGATGTGAAGAACCACAATAGGTTATTGTTGCAATAGCCTATTGGTTATTTTGTGAAGCTAACATGGTCTCCCATCACTGAAGTTGTAGTTCTCATTGCAAGGAATCATATACATGAAGGAATAAATATGGTGGGAAGCATTTTCTTCTCTGGCCAAAGAAAAGGATAACCCAATTCTCAATTTTAAGTGTAAATTGGTTTCCTAAACTCTCAGATGCCCATGAAAACCTACCCCACCCACACCTCAGCGGAGAGCATCTCTTAAGAGTGATTTCCTGACAAAGACTGTATATAGTTAAGCATAAAGCTGGAGGATCACTAAAGACAAAGGAGCATATGAAAGTTCTTTAGTTCCAAGTATTTTCAGCCTTTCTTCCACTCAGGGGCCCTTGAGAATCATGCTAGAGCAGGCAGAAATACTAACTTGGAAGAAATTCATTCAGCACTGTGTTCAACCTCCATGCATCCATGTCAGCACATCCTGTCTTCCTTCAGAGAAAAAAATATTTTTAAGTAAGCATTACAGATGCTGATAACTTTCAGTTACTCGCAGTGAAGTAGCCATCAAGTTATTGTCTAGAAGGGTTCCTGAACTCACAGCGTCACAGAGTGGTTGAGGTAAAAAAAGTTTTCCTTGTGTTAAAAGTGCAATTTCTTGTATTTCAGTTTGTTCCCCATTTCCTCTTATCCTATCACTGGGTACCACAGAGAAGGGTCATCTTTATTCACCCTTGTCAGGCATTCATGCACAGTGGTAAGATCCCAGTGAGCCTTCTCTTCTCCAGGCTGGGCAAGTCACAGTTCTTGCAGTGTAAATCAGGCAAACTGGGAAATCAGGATATCTGAAATCAGTTCTGGAACTGCAAACTTAGAACAAATCAGAGTGAAATTCGGTGTTCTGTCTCTAGAGTAGAAGCACAGAAATCATGACCCAGAACAAAGAGGCACAAAAGTAGCTTCAAGATTCTTCTGAGCTCCTTTAACCTTGAATTGCCCTGCGATCTGGTGGAACCTCTAGTGTGATCTGTTCAGCTCAAACTCTGGTGCCTCTTCTATGTCCTATGGGAATGCAAAATAGGATTGCATGAAATAGAAATGTCATGGCTGAAATAGCTGTAATACGGTTTCTTTTGTCCCCACTCCAAACTGTAGTATGCTTCTTACACAAGACCTTGAGAAAGGATGTAAGGAATCAGGCTTATTGAATCCTTTCATAGTGTCTCTCTGAAGGTTTTTTGGGGCCCCTTTAGGCATCCACATTGCTTTTGCATGGATAAGAGTGACGATGAGGGTTTTCTCTTTAATACCTCTAGGTCTTAAGTATAAGATGCCTCAGACTTGTTGCTAAACTGTATGACTCTTAGGTCAGGTTTGGATTTTGAGTTGGGTTTGGACTTTATTCCATGCTTTGGGCTTAGCAGAGAAGGGTCCCTTTTTTTTTTATAGGGACTTCTACAGTGCCAGAGACTAAATAATTAGGGAAAATTACTCAAAACCACAGTATATGACTCTGTATTAAGTAATTTTTACTTTTTGGGAGTGGAAAGGGCAGGGGGCAGCAGATAACTCATTTTTGCTATGGTGACTTCTGGTTGTGAGGACAGCATCCAGAAATGTCACCACAATGACAGTGTAAGTCCAGGCTTCTGGAAGATTCCCCTTAGGAGAATGAGTTGCAGCTCATTGTCCTGGTAATTTTGATGCAAGTCATCTTGGTAGCTGCTGAACTAAAGAAGTGGTAAGAGAGTTACATAGTATTTTAGCTTCTTCTGATTGGAATACTTTAAGTTAGTTTACTTTAAACAGAACAGCACAAAATATCGAAGGACTTTAAAACTTTTGTAAAGTGATACACTTTAGCACCTGGAGTTTGCTTGTAATAGAACTAATTAAAGATCAGTACACAGGTAGTGACAAAATCAAGCTTTGTCCTCAACCTGGCAACATATATGTTCCCCTCACTTTTTGACAAAATACTTCTACCATACTAAATGTTAAACTTTCACATAGTTACTCAGTATTTGTCAATATATTGTTATTCAAATCATATGTTCTACTCAAGTATTCATGCAGCAGTTAAAATTGTGTTTGCTGGGTTACAGCAGCCTTTATCATCATAACTGAATTTTTTACCTTGATTTAATTCAAAAACTTTAATACTCCATTAATGTACGGTACATTGAATATAAGACAGATGATGAGATTTGAATGAGCTCATACCTCTTGATCTTTTAATCTCTATACATATGCATGGGATAAGAATATGGTCTTGAGGCCAACAGAAGTTGGAAAGATAATGGAGAGTAAAATAACAATTGGAACTATTGATTTGAATATTGGGGAAGGAAAATATGAGTAAAAATATTTCAGCTCTGCAAACCAGAGATGACAAGTGCTGCATCATTTCCCCATGATGATTAGGAGCTACACTAAAAATGATCAAACTGTAATTATATTACCTGTCTGAAAAAAGTCAGAAATATAATACAGGAAAATAGAATTATTTTGCATCTTTCCTCACTTAAATTTTTCACTAGACTGTAATGATTAGGAAGGGCAGCTTGACTCAAATTATCTCTCTATCAGATTTCATGGTTTAGCTTTTGTACCTTAAACTCTTGGTATGAAATCAAGTGACCAACCTGCACTTTGACTAAGTCCTTGTCTCCACTGAATACTGACAAGCCTGAGTTTAGTGGCTAGATCACTTCTAATCCAAGGTGATACACTAGGTAGAGAAAAGTGGTTTTAAACAAGTCTCTTAGTCTCCCTGAAATAATGCTTCCTTTTTGTAAAAGCAGGCAGACCTACCTTCTTCAACCCCACCAGCTAATATCTGCTTAAACATACTTACATATTTCTAGCTCCCTTTTTCTTTTCTTGGTTTATCTCCTGCATTCATGAAGGAAAATTTGTGGGCTCACTGGCAGGCTGAGACAGTCTTCCTAGGGCTAGAGAACCTCCCATCACCCAAGTGTTTACAAAGAGGTGCCTTGTCTTCTCACTGACTGTCTGCCTTGCTCATTGTGCAAACATCATATTGTTTCAACACACTCCCCTCTGCCCCCACAGTCACAGTGGAAGTGTCTTGTGTTTTGTGCCCATATTAAATGTGTACAAATCAGGACAATATTAACAGTTAATTGCAGTGTATTTTCAATACAAGTCATTCATATAAAACAGATTTTTCTAGAAGATCAGCCTTACCCACAGTCTACAGTCTACTGATTTTTTTTCAAGTCATACTCTAAGAGCCTATTTTAAAATTCAAGGAGTGAAGATGACTCCTCATTTAATTTGTCCTCTCTCAGTGAGCTGGTGTGTAGTAGACAGCTGGCAGACCTATAAAGAATTGCTTCAGTGCTCTTGTTCTGATTTTTTCAGGCTTTTCTCAAAGACATTAGGACAGTCTTGGTTTCCAGTTTATTCTTTTGGGGTTTTGTATTGAGCTCATGACCAAAGCACAGAGTGACATGCAGGAGAGCATGGAGCAGCATGAAGAGCAGCTGGTGCATGTTTGTTCTCTCTCTCTGTCCTTAGGGGGATGAGTGTGCCCAGCTGAATATTTTCCTCTGGAATTATTTTTAATACTGTGCTAATAAGAGAAAAATGAGGGCAAAAGCAATGTGCTTGTGTTCAGTGAGACTTGTGAGGTCCCTATTTTCTTGCTTACCCCAAGCATTGAACATGCTTCTGAGATCTGTCTGCTTCACAGACAGGCTTTACTCTTTGTAGATACTGTGTTATGGATATTCTCTTTGTGCTGCTTTAGGGAGAAAAACCTGTTGTTTGTTTGGGGTATTTCAGTGAAACCAATGACAATTAGGCTTATCTATAGTACAGCCTCTGTGTCTGGAACAAGATGAAAATTTGACAGGTGCCACCAGTGCTAATTATCATTTTGGAAATGGATGTTGGAACCATTATGTATTGTCTATGGCATCCTGTTTGGAGCAGTAGAAATGAACCAGAACGGCATTACTTCCATTTTATTCTCAGATACTTCTTTCTGTCAAAGGATATTCTCAAAGCTAAACCTTGTCTTAAATCAGGCAAAATTTTATTCCCTTTTCCTTATATTGTATTGCTATGGCAACACAACATGAAATGGCATTCGGAGCTGGCTATCACTAACTGCTTCCCCCATCACATCCAGTGACCAGCCTCTGTTAACGGCTGTGGACTCCCCTGAGTGCGGGGTCTGATGTCTCTTGTTCCCACTAGCAATACTATCTTAGCTCTGTGAAGGAGTGTGTGATGAGTCAGAATAACGCCATGGACATTTTGACATGTTTATACTTCCACAGGTACTGGGGCACGTCGAAGGACTGTTAGTCTACAGTA